CCCCCCCAAGCCCTGGACCCTCTGAGTTGCATTGCCCTCCCCAGACCCAGGCATCCAGGCCAGCCCAGGCAGAGACAGAGCAGACACACTGGAACTGTCACCCTCTTCCCACTCCTGCCTTCTCATCCTCAGCTTCTTCCCTGCCCACCTGCCGGTCAGCCCACCCACCCCCAGCATTAACCTTGGGTAGAGGTTGGTGGTGGGCTGGCTGGTCCCTGGAGGGGGCAGGGAGCCTGGGGGGGGGGCTGCGGTTGTTGTCATTTCCCAAACCCCCGGGTAATCAGGGGCCATCAATAATTCAGCACTAGGCAGCCGGTAATGGAGGGGTGGGAGGAGGGAAAGGGGAGGAAGGGAGGGAGGGGGAAGCAGGGCAGGGGCCCAAGTGCCTCTAGAGAGAAAAGGCCAAGGTAGATAGTTAAAGATGGATGGGGTCCCAAGGCCCAGTCGGGCTACAGGGGTCAGTTTCCCTCTCTTGGTCCCAGCTCAAGCAGGTACCAACCAGAGCTCTGGGCAAGACTAAGCCTCCCCAGTGACTCCACCCCAGTCTGGAATCCAACAGGGGATCCTTCCCCTAGGGAACACAGATTAGTGTTCCTGATTAGCCATCAGGTAGATAGATCCGTGCTCCCACTAGGACTACCCCCTCCAAATCTAGACCTCATTGTATCCTACATGGACCTAGGTCCCTCGCCTCTAGCCCCAGGGAGATTTGGAAGGCCAGTAAGAATTCCCCACCTAGTCCCTGCCCCATTCAGAAATCTGGGCCTCAAAAGGAGCCCCTAGGGTTCCAAGAATATGACCTCCAGCTGTTGAGGTCCAGAGTCTTGCGCCAACAGCTCTGCTCCTTTTGGCAGTGACAGCCCCCAAACAACCCCTTCCAGGAACCTAGGCATCCACAGTCCCAAGCCTCACAGAAATCCAGGCGATCACCCCATTACCCTTCTCTTGCTTGAGCAAAAGAACATCCCAGGGTCACCCTTGAGGACAAGAGGTCTCTGGGAGCCCAAAGGTTTTTAGGAAGCCAGGTGACCAAGCCACAAGCTCCACATATCCTGAAACTCCCTCAAAAAAGCTCCTGGCACCTCTCAGGGCAATAAGCTCCATGCTACTCCCACTTCAGCCCCAATCTGGCTCCCAGACCTAGGATGGGGGCTGAAGCCCCTGAGACATCAGTCTGGGGGTGGAGGGGTGTACTGACTTCCACCCTCCCCCCCAAATTAAAGCCACCCTTCCCAGCCCACCATCCCCAGCCTCCATGTCCCGGTAACCAGGCAACGTGTGCAGCGACAGTCCTGGGAGCGGGGGAGCAGGAGGCTAAAAATAAACTTTGCAGAAGAGAGGGAGTGAGAGAGACTACATGCAACACAAAGGGAACTCGGAAAGGAGGTGGGGGGGGTCTCTGGAAAGGCCTCAAGCCACGTTCTGGGAGCTGTCCCAGGCCCCCTTGTTAACCTCCTTCCCTGAGCAACACCTCCCAGAGCCTGGACAGTTGCTGCCACACCTGGCAGGGACCCTTACCCACATCCAGGCCCACCCCAATGACGGCTTCGCTGATCGGACACAGCATACACGAGGGCCTGTTCCTGCCTGGCTTGGGGGGGTGGGTAACGAAGGGGGGTGACGTCAGGGTGTCTCAATGGGGCTCTGTTCCCCAGGCCTTGGAACCAAGAGCCAGGCACGGGCAAGGGGAGCATGTGTGAGTGTGCGTTGTGTATGAGTCCACGTGCTTATATCAGGGAAACACCAGCCCTGCACTAAGAAAGCTTGGGGGTGCAGAACCTCTACAGCATGGGAGACCAGTGCTGCAGGTAGAGGCAGAGCAGCTGTACTGAGACAGGGGTTCAGGAAATGCAGACAGACAGGAACAGCTTGGGATGGCTGGGTCCCAGAAGGCACACCTGGATCCTAAAGGGGTGGAGTAGGGATTCTCTCAGACAGTGCAAGCCTGGGTGGGGGCACAACTCCTGGGAACCCCCCAACTTCACGGGACCGACCAAACTTTTTAAAAGGGACTCTGGGTGTTGGAAGGCAAGGGTGGTGGTAGAGGAACATGTCGCCCTCCGTGGGGGCCCCACCACCTCCCCCACTGCAGGCAACCCTCGATGGCGCCAGAGCCGGGAAGAAAACAGGAAGTGGGAAACAGCCACGGCAGAAGAGAGAGGGGCCGGGATGGAGGATCCGATGGAGGGGAGTATAGCTGCCGGCAGACAGAAGGACAGACCGATCTGGGGGCCTTTCTGAGGCCCATCCCCCTCGATCCCCCAACCAAAGAAAGAACACATACACACACTCACACACACACACAGGAGATTCCGACCCCAGACAGGGCTGGGGGAGCAGCCTAGCCGGTCTGGTCTGATCGGGCCTTGGCCCGTAGCTGGAAGGGAAAACGAGGCGGGGCACCTTGGGTCCCCTCCCCCGGCGAGGGTAGGCTACTGCTGCCCCCCGGGCCAAGCGGTCCGGGAGCCTACGGGAGCCGGGGAGTATGTGCAACGCACGTGACTAACCTTACAGCCCTCAGCACCCTTGCCCACCCGAGTACCCACTTCGGCCCCAATCCCCAAGAACCGGACTCCAGTTCTGAGCCCTTTAAGAGCTGCCCCCACCCGCAGAGCAGGGG